CAGCAAAATTTAAAGAAAATTTGAGATATGAAGGGAAAAAGGTGTGCGATTTGACGTATGGTATATATATATATATATATATATATATATATATATATATAGGCAAAAATGCTAACTCAAGGCGGATACTGGATAAGACTGTTTATTCTCTTTTGAAAACGTTTCTTTTATATGAAGCGTCAAGAGTGTAAGGAAAGTTTGGACGGGAAGAAAAGGTGCAGGATGAGTGGTAAACTGAAGCGGAAGGAGTGCATGTACTTGCGCTGTAGCTTGACTGCTTTGAAAAGACAAACTTGTTCTCCTCCCCTTGAGTTCTTTTCCTGCGAGGATGTAGGAAAAGCATCTTGTGCAACAAAAAAAATTTTCCGCCTTTCTTTAGCATTTCAGAGCGGCTTAACTCGCATACTCGTTGAGCTGCACTTCGCCAGTTTTCCACTATGAGCTTGAACCATCTGAGCTTGCAGTCTTAAAATTGTGTTTAGTAGGTGCTACTTGACATAGAACGCCCCATATGTACTACTTTTCTCATTCACAATGCTTGAGGCGAGGCTGCATTAGAGTAGAAAGCGATTATTGAGAACAGTAAACAGATACCAACTAATTCGGACCAACATTCGTCTAAAACATTTCTAGCATCCCGCCGAGCATTTGGAAGATGTTAAAGCCAGCAGTATCATGATTGTCACCGCGGGCGCAGCGGTCCTAAAGGTCAACGATGCTGAAGAGTCAGTCAAAGAGGGTGACGCCATTTTCCTGGCTGTCGACGTGGGCGCGCTACCTGTCTCGACTTCCCCAGGTTTCACAGCATACAGAGCGTTCACACCACTGAGCTAGCCCGGTCCTTTTCTACTGACTGGAATCTTCAAGGGCTCTTTACTCGTCAATTCGAAGACTTCGTTTTTTGAAGCTGTAGCAAGTTATAATTTAGTTATTTCTCTTCTATTGATTCGCAAACTACAAAAAATAACACATAATTCAGAGCATATGCTTCTGCTTCTTTGCAAAACACTACTTTATGCCATGGAGTTTTCTGGGGCTCCGTATCACCTCTCAGAACACATAGCATTTTGTACGGCACAAAATGCAAGGGGTATGAAGATCCGGTATATTTCTACTGCAGAGCGACGAAATACTAGAAGAAAATTTTATTTAAAACATTTGCTGGGCGATTTACAATGCAACTGCATAAAAATAGTAGCTTAAACGGATGTGTAAACTTTCGGGAGGGAATGGGAGATACTGCAAACGCAGCTGGACACGAAATTCCGGAGACAAAGAAAAGAAATAAAGAAACACACGACAGCCGCTTCAGATGAAATGCGGGGGAGCGCAAAGACAAGGGCGCGCCCAAAAATACAAGGGGCGAAAGTAGACAGATTATGGAATATCAATTCCGAGCACTCAAAAGACCGAATCACAAGGAGGACGCAAGCTTCACACTCAATTAGACTAGGAGGAACGAAGTGGTCACTGTTGGCAAGCTCCGTTGTTGTCCTGCCCCAAACCACTTAAAGATAATTTAAAAGAGCAAGCAAGGTCAGAAGCTAACAAAAAGAAAAGAAAGAACGGGAACTCTACAACCAAGCGACTTTTTGAAACGCTTACTAGTTTTCAGTTTTCAATTCACAACTAACCTCCACTTGTTTTAAAACTGTTTGGCTAGATTATCCACATAAAAAAATGTGCAACACTTGCAAGCAAATCTAAGCAAAAGTAGACCCGTTAAAAAGAAACAAATGGTTCGAGAGAAGTAGGCCAAGTACGAACTACTAAAAGTCGAGCCAAAAAGACTGAAAAACACGGAACTGCTAAGCACGCTATGCGATCAGATATTAATTAACAAAAAGTAACAAAAGTAAAAATCTTAGCGTTTAAAAAAATGAAGTTCTCTTGTAAAAAAATTTTGAGAGATGTTCAAAAACCGACCTAATCATCGGTAGGCACAGAACAAAACAAAGATAAACAGCAGTTCTTATAGTCCAAATAGTTGAACATCAATAGCCTTACAAGTCATTCCAAACACATGTAACGATCACAAGGTTTGATAAGAAGTTGCAAGATTTGAGCAAAAAAATAAAAAAATATTCTTTGGACCACGGAACCGTCCTATTAAAAGAAGGGAGAAAAACATGAAAATGCAAGAGACTGTGCAAATTCCATAATATACCAACAGAAGTGAAAAAATTCACAGCTTGAAAAATAGGACTTCGTGACTGCCAAAGCGTACTAATAAAAAAAAATTTTTTCAAACTGTATCAAAAATCAAAAAAAAAAAAAAAAAAAAAAAAAAAAAAA